TTGATTTTAGTGTTAATGTTCAAAACTCCTTTCCCCTGAAGCCTGATTACTTGTTCCTCTAAACTTTCTTTAAAACTTAACTGGACTCCCTCGGCTTGGCCAGGTGTAGGTTGAAGATTCCATTTTGCATTAAGTTCTTTCAATTTCTTCTCCAGCTTATAGCTGTTTGGCATCTGTTTGGTTTTCATAGCCAGCTCATGCCAAGCCTCATTAGAAATGTTAAATTTATCTTTAATGTAGATCCACATATTAATTTCATCCAAATTTTCATCTGTCAGCTCCGTTGAGTCCTTGTCCTTTAGTGGCAGCTCGTTTTCATCAATTAAGGAAAATGTCTCGTACTGTTGAGTTTCGCCATTGAAAACTTCTACTTTTGTGGCAATAAAATCGTACAATCCAAGGAAGGATAATGTTGCCTGACAGTTTTCCTTCATCTGTTGTCGAAGACGTGACTGATGCTGTTTCGTATAATCGGTAAATTTTTTCTTTTTGGCCGGCCCTCTCTTTCCGTCTCTCTGCAGTTTCGCAATTTTACGCGCTAGAATCTTAAATTTTTTTTCGTATTTTTTTTCGTCCTTTTCTGCTTTGTTAAGCACTTGTTCGAGTTTCTCTTCTACCTTTAGCCTTTTCGCCTGTTCATCTGCAAGGGATGCTTCCAGCTTTCTCTTTTGTCCGCGCAAACCTCTGTTCTCCTCTTGTAGCTGACACGCTTCAATTTCATTATAGAATATCTTGAATGAGTACGTCTCTTTCTGCCACTTTTCTTTAAGCTTCTTAACATGGCGACCACCTTTTTGACCAGCTTTCCTCAACGCCGAGAGAAGAAGCGAAATTTTCTTCTTGAAGACATTTACGATACGATTGTTTAAGATTAAACCTTTCAGCGCAGACTCTTCAAAAATTCTTCTTATTCTCGCCGACCAAGCAGACTCAGTACTTAAGTCGTCGATTTTCCCCTCTAATTCTTTACAGACTGTATAGATGAGGTAGCTACCAAACAAGATAGAAAAGGATCTTTAACACAATGAATCTTCGAAGAAATACACGAAACTTGAATCTATACTTACTTGTTTATTTCGTACGTAAATGAAGGNAAATCTTGAAAGATTCTAATAAAGAAAATGAAGATCTTTGATTGTTTGTTTTCTGTCATGCTAAGACTTTCGGTCAATTCGCCACCACAAAACTCGCCACTACTCAAAGTTGCATCGCCACTGGTGGCGAAGCAACACATTACTTCTGAGTCCCTTTCCCTTTTCACAATATACTACTATACCTTAAACACCTTACGGCTTTCATTTGATTTAAGTTTCACACGAGAGGCTATACATAATGATTAAGTCAAGTCGTCATCGTTTACCAGTGCACAATGAACGCAAATCCCAGACGTTTTGATGGCGACGGGAAAACCAGCGAAATGACCTTCTGAACTTGTTTGCGAGAACGCCAACGCGAACACTGGAAGTCGAAATAACTTTGTGTCCATACTATTCCATACTATATCGTTCTTGCTAAATCACTCCAGTATAATTCCCAGTACTCTTAATGGATCGCTTAGGTCCCGATATTTTCTGGACGTTATGAATGAAAGGACAACTTACCCATTTGTAAAGATTAAGGGAAAATGTCTTCTAAGCAGAAGAATATTTGGCTATCTAGAAAGCGAGATCTAAGCTTAGACTGAATTTCCCTTACATATGCCAAAATCACTTTCAAGGTGGGCATGATTCCTATGAAGCGTTAAGCCCAAGTTATGAACACTTCTGATCCTGAGGCAAAAATGTCCCCGCAAAAATCTGTAGGCCTCAAGAAGTTATGTCAGAAACCGGTATAAACCACTCATTAGATACTAATTTATTACTAAATTTATCATCACCATTATCTTCATTTGCCTTATTTTAACAATACAAAGATTCATTTACAACGTTAACAGCCAGAAGGCGAGGAGACCCAGGAAGCCATCGGGCTTAATACGCGAGAGCCACCTCCCATACATTAATAAATCAAGTAAAGAAAAAGTGCTTCGAATTAATGTGTGCCTTGGCGAATTCAGTGGTTATTTTAAGTAAAAACTCTTGCATTTTTGTGTTAAAGCTAGGAAAGTTTGACGAACAAGTGACTGAAATTGAAATAGAGAGAGAGTTCCAAATTTTAGGACCTTAGTAGAGAATTGTAAATTGCTTGAGATTTGTACGGCACAAATGCGTTCCGCGATAATTACTGGCTGCTCTCGTACCATAGTTGTGAATTTGGACATTTTCACAAAAAGATTGAGAAGTAATGGGGGCAATAAGTTATTTTTTTAATTAAACATAAATTTGGCGATTTCAAACGTATTGACTTGGAAAATATCTAAAAATTCCAAGTTTGAAAAATAAAGGAACGGAATGGGCTCGATAGTCGTTCGTGTTAAGATGCAGAGTGCAGACTGTAATTTTCTTTTTTTTTGTATTTTTTCAGTTTTTTTTTTACTTTTTTTAAACTCTGATTTTTACCTTTTCTTTACTATTTTGGTAACGTTGGAACAGTGTCCAGTTTTTGGACACCACATGATGTAGTTTTATGAGGTTATTTCGAGCTCAGGTTACCTAACAACAATTTGGACGAAATCCCAAGGTTCAAAGTTATCGAGCACGTGGTGAGATAGAGATCGACGAGGGAATGTATTTGAATTTTCCCTTGTGATGAAATGAATTTTAGTTATGTCCTATACTTTTGTTAACTCTTTATTTCTGTATTGAAAATGAAAACCGGTGACTCTGAACTAGAGGTAAGAAATGGGCTGCGTGGACAAAGCAAATAATTACCAGGATCTTCACAACACGACCCAAAGAACTTTACAGTAAATAAAGTGCTGCAAGCAAAAATCTGCTTTTACTCGGAAATAAGATCGTACCCATACACTTGCACGCCATTTTTCTGATAGGACATTGCCATAAAGATGAAACATTGATTCATATATTTCGTGGAAGCTCCTCTAAATAAGACTTTTCATCAAAAATAAATGATAAGTAAATGTATATATAAATGATAATGGGTGTACCGTATCGAAGGGTCAATTAGTAAGTAACAAAAATTCCTCCGTCTGCACAGTCTGCATGGTCTGCAGTCTGCGGTCTGCGTTTTAACATGACTGCTCAATAGTCTGAGTTAGTGATAGTTTGCACAGCTCGCCTTTGCAAATAATAAATTCTACTTAAGTTAGATTCTTAGGTGGACGACGACGCGGAGTTACAATCGACGATATAAGGATAGATTAAGGAGTAGTACTAAGTGAGTTTGGTTGCAGAGGATAGGAAACAGCGAGACCTAATTATAATACCTCTTGATTTAGCGATTTGTATAAATACATAGCTGATATGGTGTTTCCAGGTAAGATGATCGTCACTATAGACAGGGGTTTAGCTCCAAAGGAGAGAGAAATGCTGGAGTTAAATTTCTTCTGTCTGGGTTTAAAAATGACGTAGCTGTTAGTTTTCTTTATCATGTATTAACTGAAAGTTTATTACATTTAAGCCTGAACATGAATATTTTGGAGTTCAACATTAAGTACGGATTCTAAGCAATTTGGATTTGAGTGAGAATAGAAGAGAAGGGTGTCATTAGCGGAAAGCAGAGGGTCTGTTAATTCAGAGGCATCAGGAAGATCATTTATGTATAGAATAAACAATAGTGGGCCTAAAATCGAACCTTGAGGGACACCACACTTGATGGTTTGCATTGGAGAGCAAGCTTGATTGAACTGGACAAATTGCTGGTGGCAAAAAAAGTAGCTTTAACTACTGCAGAGCCACATCATGGATCCCATAGTGCTCCAATTTGGCAGACAAGATTTGATGGTCAAGAGTTTCGAATGCTTTGGAAAGATCTAGGAAAACACCCACCGTTGTTTTGTGTTGGTCGATTGCAGAACCAGTTTTTTTTTTTTACCAAATGAATTAGCGCGTGCGATGTAGAGTGATTTTTCCGAAATCCAATCTGACAGCGATAAATTATATCGTGCTTTTCGGCAAATTCTAATAAGCGATTGAATATGACTTTTTCGAGAAATTTGAAAAAATTAGACAACAAAGAAATAGGGTTGTAGTTTACAAAAAAAGCTAGGATATTTAAGTTTGCTTAACGAGAAATACGCGTCCTCTTTTAATCTTGCATGCTGAATAGAGATGATGAGGTTGCACGACCCCCTCACTGACTAACCTCGTTCCCAGTGTCTCTCATCTCTCCCCCCCCCCCTTGTTTTCTCGCTCCAGGGGGCTGGAAGATGAGAGGCTCTGGGAACGAGGTCGCTCACTGACAAGGCTAACGCTGTTGTATCCTTACCAGTCTTCACGAGGTGATCGTCCCCTTTTCCAAGCTGCACCGTGCATTTGGAACTATGAGATTTACGGATACATTAGGTCTGTGCTCCCTGTTTTCCCCGCTGGCGCCTGATGAGATCGACCAATTTATGAAGGAAAGTTTATGCTAACTCCAGCGGGACGTAAAGATGGATTCATCAATTATTTCTGCACAGTGGCTTGGAATCGAGGCTTTTTCGGCCTTATTTCTTGCCACAATGTTATTGATTACTTTTCTTGCTCTAACACTTTTTGATAAAATCACAATTGTTTCGAAAACCTTTTCTTATGGTTTACTTTTCGTGATATTTGCCTCCTGTTAAGTTATATCGCTATGAATTATGCAAAGCTATTTGACCTTGAGGCTGTACATGTAAACAGGCGTTGTTAATGACCTTGTTTTAACAATTTGTCTGCCAAAAAGATGATGAATTTCGCAATTTGATTTTAGATTCACAACTCACAGCTTGTCCTTTAATCGTTTTTAACCCAACAGTTTCTTTAACCTTGCAAAAATTTCGCAAAGCATCAAAATGTTTTTGTTTTAAATTCGTCTTTCTTTACACTGCACCAATGGCACTCCGTCATGCAAATAAACATAAATTGCAGACAATTTACAATCCACTTGAAACTTTGTGAGCTGTGAATGTTTTTGTTAAAAAGTCGAACACCACTTCATTTATCACTTTGTTTAAGCTGTCGTGAAGACATTGATCACAGTTGATCAGATAACTCTGTTTTCTTTCAAAACTTTTTCCAAGTTCTTCAACATCAGCTTCAAGATCTTAAATTCACTGCACTTGTACATTCGCTGCCCTATCAAAGGCGACCTGCAGCGCAAAGAATTGGATGTCTTCACCAGAAAGGGAACTGAAAGCAGTTCTGTAAACAAATTTGCAAAACTACTGAGGTAATCAACGACCTGTAATTGTTTAGAGACGCAATGTTTTCGGCGGTGGCTGTAGCATTTAGCAGCTTGGTTCTTGCAGTCATAATGGTTGTTGGTGTAGCTGGAAATCTTGTCATTGTTTGGATAGTCAAAAGTTCTTCAAGACTGAAAGCCAAAAGCCATATTTTGATAGCTAATCTCGCCGTCGCAGACACACTACAGAGCTGCAACATATTCTTTATGCTCGTTACCGCTATAAATGGAGGGCATTGGATGTTTGGCGAAACTATTTGTCAAATGACAGCTTTCTTGACGGTGGAGTTTGTGCTCGCATCTATGCTCAGCATAACAACCATTAGCATCAATCGATATTTTAAAGTTATGCATGAAAAAAAATACGACAAGATATTCACTGCTAAGTCTGTATGGATCATAATAGCGTTCATATGGACACTGCCTTTGATGTACGCTGTACCCCCTTTGATGGGCTGGTCAAGTTACGCTTTCGATCCTGGAAAATGCTTTTGTTTGTTTCGATTTCGCACGAACAGCTCGTACGCATTTTTCTTAGCTGGCACAATGACAACTCCAGCTTTAGTAATTATGTGTTACGCTTATTTCCGTGTTTTTCAAGCGGTGAAACTGCACAGAAACAGAGTGTGCAGTTTACAATTACATGAAGAACGTCATAAACTAGGAGCGGATGAATACAAGATAACTTCTGCTGTTGTAGTGGTGGTTTTATCGTATATAGTTTGCTTTGTCCCTGCGACTGCAGTTAATTTTATCGAAATTTTTAACTCCGATTATGAAATTCCTCTGTGCATTGACTTCTCGTCTTTTGTATTAATTTTCGTAAGTCATGCAAACAACCCTCTCATTTATGGCTTCATGAGTAGGCAGTACAGAGTGTCTTTTCAGGAATTACTACAGAGGGGGTCTCAACCAAAGAGAACCCGGAAGAAAAAGGATAAAAGCGGAGATCAGGGAGATCTGCAATTACAAAAACACGTTCCAACCCTAATAGCGGCATCTCAAGCTTTGAGAAAACAAAATGATAATACTGTAAGTTGCACAAAGAAGTGTTCGACTTCGTAAAATTAAGCTTCTAGCATTAAATAATACTGAAGGATTTGTTTAAAAGTATGACTGCTTTGCCAGACTTTGACCACTGTTATCTCGGTTTTCACGTAACGTCATAAGCATCTCCAAATTTGGACGTCCGCCAAGTGCACAAGGTGTGAAGGGAGGGGAGGAAGTGATTCATAATTTCTTACGGGAAAACTGTTTGCCATGAACTCGGGCTGGGAGCTGGCAGAGATAGGAAAAACTAAAGGCGAATTTTTTTATTTTTTTATTTTGCCCATCTCCCCACTTATTCAGATGATGAAGTTGGGCTACGGGACTCATCGCTTTCTTGTTGCGTCGCATGTACAAGTACTTTGATTCAAAACGGCATTTAAAGCCACTTAACAAAGGAAATGGATTTGATTTCGAGAAATTTTTCAAGATCCAAAAAGTTGAGGCAAGTAATAGCCAGTCCTCAGTCTTCCCCGTTTAATAGCTGCGACCCCAACCTTACATACATACAGACATACATAGTTTATTTGGTAACGCAGGTTGCAGAATACGCAAGACTGAAGTCCTGATGTGGACCTGCCTATCTACTATCTATCTAAGTTAAATAATAATTAATAGTAATAATACAAATATAAAAATATAAAACTATGAACTACAATAATTATTTAAGATAAGATTAACAAAGAAATTCCTCACTCCTATTCCTTATCATGGAAGATTCCTTATTATAGCTTATGGAATTATTAAGTCCTTGCTAGATGTAAGTCTTTTTTTAAAACATTCTAAGCTAGATAGAAGACTTTTTTTTATCGAATCAGGAAGTGAATTCCATGCAATGGTTTCCATGCAATGATTCCAGCACTTCCCTTTGTTTGCTGAGCACGGAAGCTATTTTTCTTCGTGAATTTTGGAGGTTTGTCCCCATTTCAGTTTGCCCCCATTTCAGTTTGCCCATATTACGACAAGTTTGCTCCATCAGATTTATCAAGTTCGTCCGCGCTATCTTTACAAGTTATGTCCTCGCGGCAAAATTCAAGTGGCAAAGAAATTACATTTCCCTTTGGAAATTTATCACTCCAGGAATCTTTGGAAACTTCTCTTCAATTAATCTATCTCCATCACATTTTGGATTTAAATTGTATCATCAGATCAGCCGGACTTAGTCACCCATTCCGGCCGTTTGAATATTGTGTTCTTGTTCTTGTTAATCAGTGTCCTGTGCCGTAAGCGAACTGCCTCATGGTTATTTGTGCCCGTACAGCAAGCTGGGAACGCTTTAGAGTGAAAAACGCGAAGAATATTAGGATATCATTGAGAATAAAGCGGCTGAGAGAAATCATCGATAATTTCCCTCTTTTTCTTTTTTCTACGGTAAGATTTGGGCAAAATTTGCCTTATGGACTAAGTTGAACAATTTGTACATGTAATGAGTATCTAGAGAAGTAGATGTGCTGGTAAAAAGCATTCGTGAATTGGATATGATGGCGTGATCCTCGCCTTTGTTTAGAAATATTTCTTCTTTTGCAGGTTTTCCTTCAACGACGCGTTTGAGTAGACAAGTGAAAAGTTACAAAAGTGGACGGACGCGGGGCAAAATCTTCAGATTTCTCCGGAGTCAGGGAGGTTGTACCCGCATCGCTGCCGTTACAAGAGCAAAACCAAGTTCATTCGCAGCAAACTACTCAACGATGGGTCCCTCCACAGATAAACCGGCTTCAATATCGTGACGATGAAGCGGTTTTTCGACGGGTCCGAGGGTAATAGTATCGTTTTTGCTTCTTTTTGTATTTGTTAGGTTTTTGTTTGATGATTTGGTGACTTTTTAGGTTAAGAATATGTGATCTGTGCCTAAATGTTGTAACCATTTTTATTGAAGCTTTCCGATGGCCTGAAAACTCTAATTTGCAACTTCAACTGTCAAATTAGCTTTCTTCCGCAGGAACCTATCGAGTTCCCTTTCTAAAATTTTGTAAAAAAAATCCGACTTTACGAACGGATGCACATAACTTTTCTCTCTTGTAAAAATGATTTTTCATTACTTTATGTGCGTGTAGGCATACGTCAGTTTTTGTTGTTGTAAGATGATTGGGGTGTGGTTGAATTTAATTAAGAGGCCAGAATTTTATTTTGTAGCTCTAGTGTTTTTATCAGAATAATTTTGATCTTGATGATAGCTTTGGGGAAAAAATAGTTTTCTCTTGAGAACCCAAGTGTCTCTCGGGAAGAACATCCTCTTTTTTTTCTCTGTCGCTCAGAGATTCTATACAGGTGGAACTTTGAAGAAAAGTATTCTTCCAGCCTCAGTGTTACCATTTATTTATTATCCTATTTAGTACACATAGAACTCATTTCCTCTTGGAAGGAACTCTAATTCAATTGCTGATATTTAGTTTTCTTGCATCAGTATTCTATCCTAATTTAAATTTTTTGTCTTTGATATCAAAGCATTTGAAGATCTTAATGTAATAGAACATCTAGTGCATGTGGGTCCAAGGCTCAACCTTCTTCATTTGAGGTTTTCTTTCTCTTGTTTCCACAGGATCCTTAATAAACTAACTCCGGATAAATTTGACAAACTATGTGATGAACTGCTTGGAGTGGGTATTGAGACCAAGTACATTCTGAAAGGCGTGATTCTGTTGGTAAGTGTATTTAACATGATTCAACATATAAAGGCAGATTGTTTAGCTCTAATATTAGCCCTGAATGCATGAGGCCAATAAATTGTATATCACATGCACTCACAATCCCTATAAGATTCACATTTTCTTTTTTAAAATCTAAAACTAGTAGATTATTTTCTTCTCAAAGTTTCCTCTTTGTATTCATTAGTTGTACATACATTACTTTCTCTGTATGGAGCTTGTATAGAGCTTCCTTAGAATTGTGGTAGATTAGTTATTGTGGATGGATGGTTCAAATGTTATTTCTCATTTATTCTTCCAGTCCTGTTTATCTAGACTTATTCAAGACTCATGCTTTTATGATTCTTGATAGCTTATATTGTATTTTTTTTCATGAATTGCATTGATTTCCAGACTGTATTTTGCTAATGTTTAGGTTTTTGAAAAAGCTCTCGATGAACCAAAGTACAGTTCTATGTACGCCCAGCTGTGTCTGCGGCTTAGTGAAGAGGCACCAAACTTTGATGATCCTGGAAAAACTGGAAACTCGGTAAGTACAACTTAGCAATGACAAACAAATTTTTGTTGTTGTTTTTATTAGAGGATTTTTCCCTCAGATCTTTTCTAGAAAATAAACCTTGCACTATTGCCATGGCTTAAATATTGGTTTTACCACCAGTAATTGCAGGAAATCTTCTAAAGAGAAGTCTGTTGTTTTTAGCAGTTAAGACATACTTGTAAATTAAATTGTCAACTATAAATTGTGTTCTAGAAGATGTTATTGCCCAGGACTAATGCAAGTCCATATCATTGGCTTCCCATTAAAAATTTGAACATCCTAGCCTTAAATTGGAAAGAAGCTAATTGTTCCCTTCATTTAAATGGTAAATTGTAGTGGAAGATTACTAGCTTCATGCATTATATTGTCATGAATTGAGTCACCTGTCTTACATTATATGTAGGTCTGAATTATATTTGCTTGAAAGAATTATTATCTACCCACCTTCCAAGTTTAAATCTTAAAAGAGCTCTTTTTAAGCCATCAATTCCTCAGATCTGATTGTCAATTCTCTCCTCTAGCTGTTACACATTTTGTTGTAAATAAGTGGTAAGAATTTGATGTAAGATCAAGATAACAACTTCAACCTGTTTAGTTTGAGTATTCTCATAGCCTGTTTTCTGGAAAATCTTTGGATGTTATTGGGAGAAGTTGCATGTTAATCATTTGTGGAAGTTAATGGTTAAATGAGTTGTTGGTATATTTAGTGATTACTCATGTCTATTATGTTCTTCAGACATTCCGACGTTTGCTTCTCAAACAGTGTGAGGATGAATTCAACAATAGAACCAAAGCTAGTCAAGGTAATCTAATAATACCCTGTGATGGTGATATTTTAAAATTTGACATGAAGGAAATGCACTTTTAATGTATTTGTATTATTTTACAATGGCTTTTGAAAGCAGTTCAGCTGTTAGAACCTTGAAAGTGCTTTTAACTAGGTTGGTTGCTGTACATCTGAAGCTTATTTCTTCAAAGATAGATTAATGAGAGACTGAATTGTTTTTTCAATTTTGTGGTATCAATCAGTCCATCCTTTTTTTTTCCCCATTTCTATCGTTCCGCTTACTTGTATAAAAGTTTTGCCATTTTTTTCTTCATGGAGTGTGAATAAATACTTCAAAATGGGACACCATACAAGCAAACTTTTGATATCATTGCCTGATGAAGACTAGCATTATAGAGGTTTAAATGTCACAAGCAATACATTTGATAGCCTGACTCTACATAGTGAGAAAAACAATGAAACATTCATTTATCTACAAAACCACGATGACCAACAACATTTATATAACAATCAGGATGCTGTAAGCTGATATCAGTGGGTTCCTTTTTTTCTGTAGTTGGCAAAGCACTAAGCTTATGATTGAAAATATTAATATTGCATCTTAATTCCTGTTGTATGGTAGCTTTTGATAAAAAAGATGGTCCACTTACACCGGAAGAGGAGGAACAGCGGTCGACTACCAAACGTAAAGTGTTGGGAAACATACGTTTCATTGGTAGGTGCAAGAGGAGAGCTTTTCTGACAAGTGTCTCAGAAATGGCTAGCAGTTCATATAGTAAAATAAACTTACTGGTATCTTGTACAGCACACAACCTTGTTTTACTTAAGGAGGTGATGACAAAATTAGATGAAATGTTCAATCCAAAGTTCAAGTTAAAAAGTTTGTCCTTCAAAGTTTCTCTTTTCTTAACTGGTGTTTAAAACCTTTTTTCTTGCGCATACCATATACATGTACATCTATTGAAGTATTTATTAAGAAGAATTTACAGAATTGGTAGTGTCACTGTATCCACAAGTAATAATTATTTGTAAGCAAGGCCAAAGATGCATGTTGTATATTAAGAAATTAATAAAAGATAACAATTATTTGTTAACAATCAGCTGATTCTTTTTGAAATTAGGTGAACTCTACAAGTATGACATGTTGCATGAAGCCATTGTACACAGATGCATCAAGCAGGTAAAGAATATTTTAGTGAAAAGACTGCATTATTTCAAGACAGTGAATCATGTTTGTGGAAACACCTTAATAAATTTTTGCCAGCTATAGTTAAAAATGAGCTATATAAAGGAATCTATATGTTTGAATGGTGGGGAACCTCTAAAATGTCTCTCTTTAAATTCGCCCTGGAATCACATAGAAAGGTTATGAGAATTTATAAGAGAAAAGATCACCAACTAAAGAAGCTCTTGATTGTTAAACATTCTGCTTTTTGCACCTTAAATAGTGTACAGAGTACAGTATGGAGAATATGCCTGCTGTTGCTAGGGTGTAAAAGGTAAACTTATTTATGGTTCTTTCCTCAGCTGTTGGACAAGAAGAAACGTGCTTCAGTGGCAGACTTGTCGGAGTCCATGGAGTGTCTCTGTTACTTGATGAGAACTGTGGGACCTAGACTGGATATTCCCAAAGCTAAGGTACAAATCAGCTTGGAACTATTCCATGCTACTGGTATTGTCCAGATATCATTTAGAGGGGAAAAAAAAAAACAGCTGAAAACTTAAAAAACAAAAATAGATTCAATGTAGTATCAATTGTTTTACTTGGATTTTTAATTCTGTCTTAATGCCACCTCTATGGTTGAATTTCCAAATCTGTTAAGTGTTACCACACTTGGTTGTTTTGCATTATAATTGTCCATTCTCTCTATATGCGAGCTTAAGGATTGACATTTGCTCAAAGTAGATCCTTGGAGTCACTGCTAGTAACTTTAGTGCGACTTTCTTTGTCACTGCTTTTGCTGGTGAACTAAGGCTCTTCATATGCAAGATTTAAAAGCCGGTTCTTCTCAGTGAGGACCACACTTTCATTCATCTCCTGGCTATCTCTTAGAATTGAGTGTCTTATTCAAATAATATCCACTGTTGATAATTTCTTGAAAGAAGGAAAATATAGACTGATCACCCTGGCCAGGACATCTTGTCGACCCTGTAGGAATTGCACTCATCTGTGAGTCATTTTAGTTTAGTTTATTTTGTAATTTTAAGCGTTTTCTTTTAGCCTTTGATGGATCAGTACTTTGAGCGCATCCAGCAGCTTTTAGGCCGCAGTGACTTTCCATCTCGCATCAGGTTCATGATTGAAGATGTCATAAGCCTACGCAATGCCAAGGTAAAAACTTTCATGACTGTTTAGTAGCCTGCCTCTATGACTCAGCTTGATAGTATTATAACTGCATGATGTGTTGCTAGTGTAATCAAAGCATTACAGTTAGTAGAATTTCTTATTTGCCTTCCAACTCCCAAAAGTGATTAACCTGTAACTTCTCCCCACAATATTCATACATTATTTGGCAAACAGAAAACTCAAATACAGTACAATGAATATATGAACTTCATATATTCATTGTATCTGATTTATCATCACGGGTTTATTACGAATCAACTTCCTGCTCCCAGTTGGCTTGTTAGCTCAATTTGTGGAGCACTGCACTAGTATCGCAGAGGTCAGTGGTTTGAATCCTGTACAGGCCTGATTTTTTTCTAGGTCTGATTTTCGCTATTGCATAAATAGCGCTCTCTACTGCGAGGATTGTGCATCATACGTAGAAAACTCAAACTTCTCAGTTACAAATTGTTATCTTGATCTAACAACAGCTTCTGGCACCTAATTTGTAAGAAAATATGTAGCAGGAAGAAAGTATAATTGACAATCAGATCTTGAGAATTAAAGGTTTAATGCTGTTTATTTGTTATTACTTGTGTTTGGTAGTGGACTCCACGCAAGGCTGTACTGGAGACAGGGCCTAAGATGATTCAGCAGATTCGCCAAGAGGCCTGGCAGGTAACTTGATGCATTTCTTTTATAGCTATACTTGTATGTTGTGGGAATGTGCTTGTAATTTCTTTGATTTTCAGGGCTCGAAATTGCCACTCACTTGTTGCCAATGCGACAAAAGATTGAGCTCTGGGGACTAACTTTTCAGAACTGGTCGCCAGCTGGCAACTCTCGTTTTGTCCGATAACTAAAGAAAACCACAACACAACTTTTGCTATTTAATCTTTATACTAGGAAATCAATCAGGCATGATAGCTAGTATACAACTCACTTTTCTGTCCCCAGTAAAATGATTTCTGGATATTACAAGATAATAAAAAAAATTGAATGTATTTTGACTCATCAATACCGCGTTCACGGCGCGCCACACTGTATCAGCGGCTTCTCCCGAAACTGTGATTGGAGGTGCCCTTCAACACCATGTGCTGTTCATTTACCATGAAAATGGTGGCAGATACAAATCAGTTGAAGGAATTACAGTAGCTTTAACTAGCTAAAGTTTTTAACAGGTGGGAATCTAGCAATGAGAGGCGGGTATTTGGGCCGTAGGCCAGTGCCTTTGGCATTCATTCTTTCGCATACATGAGTTACAAATTATACCGCTGGTCATTGAGCCTGCAAATTGGACGATACAATTGTCCCACTAACTGGAGTGTTAATAACCCTTTCAGTTCAGGTAAAACAGCAATGAAGATGTAAACAAACGAAATAAATAAATAATAATCTTCTGAAAGCATTTATAAACAATTTGGAGAAAGAAGTAGTGCTTTACAGCTGAAAATATCACGTTCACAGTTAGGTAATTTTCGTGGGTTCCAGCTAATATCTACATCCCTGTAAGTGTTAATCATGTTGTTTCCAATTGTTTTCGCTCTTTAGTTGTGACTTTTCTTGCATGCAAAGTAAGGTGTAAGATCGTGTTTTTGTGTAAGTTAAAGATAAAATAAGTTGGCTACCAAAATTTACGATCTGGCAACCAAAATTTTTCTGTTAGTCGCCAGCTGGCTCCCGAACGGAAAAGTTAATTTCGAGCCCTGATTATTCAGAGTGATTTTGTATTCGAGTTCTCTAATTTAACTTTCCAGATTACTGATACTTTGAAAATTTGGGTCTGAGTACTTGTTGGCAGTTAGGGTGTGGAAATTTCATACATTCTATGAGGAAGAGGAGCACAGAACAGTTTTAAAAATTTGAAAACACTCCTAGACATTTTTTTTTTTTTTATGGTGCATCAAGACTATGGAACAATCTTCCTATTATGCTGAAGTGCAGCTTCCCATGTAGCTCCCTTTTCAACAAAATTAGAAAACAAATTAAGTCTGTTACAATAAAACGTCTTTGTTTTTAAGATAGTGAGCTGTTAAAATTTTTTTGGGGGCCACAAATAGGTTATTGCAAGCCACCTTCAATAAAGGAGCTTTATTGCTTTCATGATCATTATTTTTATGTTATTAGTAACCTAAAACTCTGCTCTCTCTCTAGAATCAGGGTGGTAGACCTGGTTTCCCAGTTCCAGCTCATGGCCATGTGCCTCGTAACATCCCACCACATGCTCCTGGTAACTGGATGAATCATGGAATGGGCAGAGGAGCTGGGAAGGGATCAGAGTACCAACAGATGAGCCGAGGAATGAATGATGTGTTTGTCACAGACAATGGATTTCGTCCCTCTGGTCCGCGCTTTGATGAATTTGGTTCTGGTGGAGTACTCCCAGACAGGTCTGGGTTTGGTATAAGGTAAAGTCATAACTTTTTTCACCCTCAAACTCCCACGAGTGACTAATACAGGACTTCTCCTTACAATATCAAAAGAATATGAAGCAAACAAGTCATAAGAATAAAGAAAATTAACAATTTGGGGGATTATTAGTTGATCCAGTACAAATTCTCTGACTTATCATTGCAAGAATTGTTAGGCAGATAGTAAGGAGAAGGACTAATATGATCCTTGGAGTGAAAGGGTGGAGGCTATGGTTCCTGTTTTTCAAATTACAAGTCATCTTTTACAATGTGTTTACTTTTAGATAAGATAAGATAAGTTAAGACCTTTATTTAAACATGATAATAATTAAAGCTAACAGCTTGAGGGGTCGTGTATTTATTTTATACATTATTAAATAAGAAGACTAGCTAAATAAGTAAAAGGCTAACATTAACATCTTAATCAAAAGTAGAGAAAGTCATCATTTTTATGGTGGACAGCTGAAGCTGAAGCAATATTAAATTTAAAATCTCTAAGTTTCTAAATTTTATTAATTTTTTTTTTTTAATTTTCTAAATCTCTAGATTTTAAATCTCTTTAAAATCTCTAACTTTTGAGGCAGATTGCTGTTTAGGACACCTGATCTCAGTTTGGAAGGGTCCTCAGTGAGAGTTTATTTATTGTACTAAATCCAGACAAAATGAGCCATTTATTTATTTACATAAATCAATGTTTGGAATTTCTGTATGGTTTTTGAAGTTTCAAAATAGTCTTCTAACTGTATTTGATTCACAATGTGCAATAATGTCATGACATAAGATATGGACTCACAAGATTGATATATCAGTGAATAGGTACTGTTAGTATTTTGATACTTACCACTATATGTACCAAATTATCAGAATTATTCTGAAAGAAGAAGTTTTGGAAGTTACTTATAAGGTTTTTATTTCATTTACAGATATCATGATGATGATTATGACCAGTTTGCACCGCGGGACCCATGGGCTGATTTGTCATCAACCAAACAACCAACCATGTTATCCAATTCACCAGCAAACAACTCAAAACCAACAGGAGGTATTGAACTCAGTTACAAGTCTCAGAATTGTAATGTCTCCTAATGGTGGTTCCAAAACCTCTGCACACAGACTTGGAGGCACCAAGTTTGATCTTACCAGGACTGCAACCCAACAAGCAATACCATTCACTGTAGAAATAATTAACTGCCTTAGGTATTTTTTCTAAGAGGTATGAAAGACTGAAGAATGAACTGAATGAAATACTCTTTGATGACAGGTGGATGGAGGCCAGCATCAAGGCAAAATCACATGAGTTCAGATGGAGAGGTAAGTTACCCAGAGTTGTGATGCAGTCACATTTTTGTTGGTAAAAATTCAGTCATGATTAACACTTCCACTAAAATTGTGGGAGGAAAAAAAAAAAAATGAAGACAGGCACTGCTAGTAAACAATAGATGTAAAAGCCAGACCTGGAAAATAGAGCTTGGGAATAGCACTTTGGGTTTTCAAAGCTATATGATTTATAATAACATGTTTAAATTTCAGGCCTCAGTTAATCAAAGGGTAGATAATGCTATCCACAAAATAAATCTTTATCCAGTGGATAGCATTGTACATTTTGTTTGCACCCTACCACTGGATGGTAACAACAGGTAAGTGTTGCCAAAACATACTTACATATTGGATAGGGATTTATCCAGTGGATATAGTGTTCACCCTTTGAATAACCAGGGCTGGTTGAAAGGCATTATCTGCCCTTTGATCAACTGAGGTCAACAGTAGAGTGATCTTTTGTCACTTTTCCACATTTCAATTATCTTAATTATCTGTGTTTTCCAGATAAGTCTGCGGCCAGCAAGAGATTCAATTGCTGCATCTCAGAGGCCTGGTGTACATGTAGCTGGCAGATCTCAAACCCCACCAGCTCAAAAGCAACTGGTGAGTATCAACAATTATTAAGAATGAATCAGTAAATGTTTTTCATGACTCAACACTTTAGAAGAGTGAGATTAAACTTGTTGATTACAGTAAATAGCAAAGGGAATGGGTGGCAGGGCCATGAAAAGAATTGAATAGTCAATTTGTATCAATTATTTCAGGATCCCTTAAACAGAACTGCTGCTCCACCCATAATAGAGAAGGCAAAGAAGCAAAACAAACCACAAACTCCTTCTACAGCTGATCTCCACAAGCAAATTGTGAGTGGCCTGCCCTCCTTTCTTATTCAGATAACCAGTTATGAATTATATCTGGCATATTTTTCTTGCAACATTCTCACAAAATAATGGAACACATTTCTGCGGAAGTGAAGAATGTCTCTTTTACTCTATAAACAGCTTTTGAAAGAAGGAAATGCACATAAATTTTGAACTTTCAAAATTCTGTAATCATGTTCTTTTTTAAAGAGTAAGAAACATAATGGTACCTTCACAGGAGAACATTGTTGCTGACTTTTTGGTGTCCAAGGATGTAGAAACTGCAACAAAAGCTATCAAGGATATCAAAGGACGGAGGTATGCATTTGGATACAATTTTTTGTTAGAAATAAGAGTTTATTTTTAGTAAATAAAAGTGAGTTTTGATAAAAGAGTGTTTAACTAGTAAGGACTTAAAGCTAATATTGAAAATAATTTTAGCATTGTAGGTTATGTTTGTATCGTAAATAGTGTTGGTGTTGAAAGTAATGTTATTATTGTAAATTGCTTTTTAAATTAACAATAAAAATCAATTTTAAAAAAGTGTGTTTTGCTTTCTTTACCTCCTGAAGGAACTTGGTAATTATTTAAACAGTATATTAAGAAGTTTTTGGTTACTTTTGAGTTTATCTTTTTTTTTTTAATGCTTTAAATCTCCAATTATTCTTTTCTCTCTTTTAGCTGGGTACATTATTATCTCATGAAAACTTCATACATATATTTGTTCTCAAATAAATTGTTTGTGAGTGCTTGAAAAATGTCAAATCCAATCAATGTTTATATTTGTAAACTTAGGTATTTCACAAGCCTCATCAGTCAACTGTTGGCCAAAAGTCTCAAGGCAGAAGATCAGGAATGTTTTAGTCAGCTATTTTTTTTCTTGCACAAGTCACAGCTATTAACAGCAGACGTGTTTATCAAGGTAAGCTTTACATTCATTTACGTGTTCTGCTTCTTATCTAAGCGACTTAACCCTGTAACCCCTAAGAGTGACTAGTATCTAATTTCTCCTTACAATATCACCCCAAATCACACATTAAGGTCATGAGAATAGAGGAAATGATCACCTACTAAAGAAGCTCTTGATTGTTCAACAAATTCTCCTTGTCAGTACCTTTAGTTAGGAAATGCATATCAGAACAGTTTGGAGAATAATGCATACTGATGTTAGAGTGTAATGGGTCAAAAGTATTGAAAGTTAAATGGTTGTCTAGTGAGCCACTCACATAATCTTAGTACAACTTACTTCCTAATTCAACTAGATGTACAAACTTGCTAGACTCGCCCGTGCAAGGTTTGAAACTAACAGGGCAAGTCTTATGATCTGAAATGATTTTGAAACTTTGGAAGACTATGCAAGCCAAGGAGCCTACAAGTTATGAATGCTGAAAACCTTGGCTAAACTTTTTTTCAAGATCAGGCACTTTCATGCGAACCAGACACAAAAGCATGGATATTGTGGAATCTTTATGGTCAACAGATCAATCTATTTCCTGTCAAACATTTCTTGAGAAAGTGAAAAATTGGATTTATGTAGTCAGATACGAGTTGTGTACTTTGTAGCTTAGTATTACATCAGATACTTCCTTGTATAATTTTTGTAAGACTATTTCAAAATAACCCTTTCCCATTGCACAGGGAGTTTCAGGTGCACTGGAACAGCACCAAGACGTGGAAGAAGAAGACATGAAAATCAAAAAGCACATGGCAAGGCTCATGGCTAAAGCTGTAACACAGGTAACAGTAAATTTGTCTATGGTGAAAAGGTTGACTCAAGTTATTTATGAAGCAAGTTGAGATGGCCAAATATTTTAATGTATGACAATATAATGCACTTGTAGATTGAAAACCCTATACCCCCCTCCTCCCCACCCCCCATCCCCTCTCATCCCCCCTTCCTCTTATCCAAATCCCACATCAGGTTGAGGATGAGGGATCTGACAGAAGGCTTGTTCAAATGAAATGAAACCTCCAGCCCCTTGGGATGATATTTAGATTAAGTAGTTTGGACCATGCTTCCACTAACAGTATTCTTTCAGTGTAGAAGTCAATTATTCTACAGCTTTGGAGGGTCAACTCTTGATAAACTTCAGTAACATTCTTTTTCAACCAAAACATTTTCCCTTGGGTTGGGAACATACTGAATATGTTAAAGTCGACCACTCTAACACCCTCTGGGTGACAGATTGCTGATCTGACTGGTTAACTGACGTGGTGATAGACTGTTAAAAGCCCCTCTAGAACAGTGCATAAAACATTTTTAAAACTTCCACTTGATTTCCAACAGGGAATTTTGAATTTAATTGAGGTGAGCTCCCTGACAGAAAATGGGAATTTCCACCCAACCCTCCTGCTGTGTCTAAAGGAACTGGAGGCCTTGGAAGGAAAGGTTTGTTTTAACCATCCTCTCCTTTTTTTGGTCAATTTCTGTTGGCTTTTCTCTTTGCATGTTCCTTCTGCTTTCTTATTTCTAATTAGATATTTAATTGTTTCTTCAGGACTGGCTAGTGAAAGAATTCACCAACAGCAAACTAGATCTGTTGCCGTCTTTACCAGGTTTGTCAACAGAAGACTAATTTTAGTATCTTTTTATCAGTGGTCCAAAAGGAACATCTGAAAATTTTAGCTGTTTAACCTTACCTTTTTGGACTTTTTCTTTGTTTACAGAGGATGACAGGACAAGTGAGAAGTTCATGTCCATCCTGGAAAAACAGGTTTGCAAAATAAGAGTAATGGTAAGCAGCTATGCTGCTGTGATGAGTAGTCAATCGTCAAGTGACTTTACAGACAGACTCCAGCCGATCGAAAGCATGGCTAGGATCTCTGTGTTACTTGGGATAAATCACTTTACACGAACCCTGCCTTTCTTCCTCGTATTAAGTAGATTATGCCTAGTTGTAGTTAGTGAACATGCGTGTTTCATTCAGTGTGATTGATTGGCAGTCAGTTTGTTTAAATTTTGTCAACTTCCGTTTTATCTATCATTTCGACAACACCCAACAAACCTCCATCCTTTACCCTGAAGCCTGGTTATCTAATTGAGGTGTCATCCAAACAAATCATTTATGACTCTACTTTCTCCACAGAGTCTGGTTTTTCTCTTCCCTCTTCTTCATATCCAAGCTGATCTTTATTACAAAATCGAAGAAGATCCCACTGTCACTGCTATCTACAAATGGGTCAAGGTATGCACTCTAAAGAGAAGCCCACATACAAATTCTCATTTGTGACATAAGAAATTTTTTCTTAGATGGTAGAGAGAATCTACTTTCTAATCTGGGATTTTCCTCATAGGATAATGTGGAGTCCTCATGGCACACCAATCCGGAATTTATTAATGTGCTTGCCACTGGGTAAGTTTCATTTTTTTTTTTAGACTTAGTGAAAGTAGGCATCGTTATTTCTTACGAGAGTTGGTAATCTCTTGCTAGCTTGTTAAAGTACGCTACTAAGGACAGTACCCTAAGTGAGAGCGTGGACCCCACGCAGGCCCCAGAAAAGGACCTGATGGAGAAAGAGAAGGCAGCCATGAAGAAATTACTACCACTAGTGGAGAAATTTGTTCACGAGAAAAGCCACTTGCAAGTGAGTTTGTAACACTTTGTCAAATCTCTTCCAAACTTTTCAATGATTCTCTCCCTCTTCCCAGAATCCACCTCTCAACCAAGATCATAGTTGGGAAATATTTCTTTTTGTTGTTGTTGTTCTATCCTGGATTCCTTTATATTCACATGAGAGTTTTCCTAGAACCATAACCAGATGCAAGTGTAAACCTATCCACAAACATAGAAAATTTAATTTTGTACTGACTTGTATTAGTGAGTCTGCTGCACATATATTTATAAACCAATTTTTAGGGGTAACTATTATCTTTTCGGTAAGTCTCCTCCTCTCTTTTGTTCGTCTAGGTCAGCGTATTGTATGCACTGCAAGTATTTTGTCACACCCACAATTTTCCCAAAGGTATAGTAACTAATGAAATTTTCAACGGTGGAGTGTCTCTTTTGTACGTCTTGCAACCCTTTTAGGACTTTGTTTGACGCATTAGGGAAAATTTTGGACAATTCTAGTCAAACCAAAGCCAAGTTAGTTACGACTACCTGTAAGAGTAGATGTAAATCTTTCAGGGAGACTTTGAAAACTCTAGGTTTGTTGGTTTAAAGTTAATATCTGATTGGTGGAGAAGGAAGCGAGAATTTTTAACAAAATCACACAACTTGATGGAGCAAAACCAAAGCAACTCTAATATCCTAATTTCGAAGATTTAATATGATTGGACCGGAGGTGAATGTGTCGGTATTGCGTAGGATTTTAGTGATTGGTTCATTAAAATCGGAAATCGGGCACAGTGTGAGTGGCTCTCAACGTTCGACCCTGTTTGGCAATTTTCGATCCAGTGAAAATTTCATAGCCCGAGATGTGTTCGAAAGATATAAGGAGAACATAAAGAAAGTTCTTGGTTGGAAATTCTTTGGAAGTAGTATCGTTAATTTATGTGTTTGAAATGCATGTGTTCTTTCTTGCTTTGTAGGTATGTTGCTGCGCATGTTTGTGTTGCTGTACGATACGGAAGTTGTGGAGGAGGATGCGTTTTTGAGGTGGAAAGAAGATGTGAGTGAGAAGCATCCCGGCAAAGGAAAAGCTCTCTTTCAGGTTAGGACCAGCGCTTTTAGTTATTAGCTGCGTAGCGTTTGACTGATTCTGACAGAAATGTATTTACATCTCAGGTTAACTCGTGGCTGACTTGGTTGGAAACCGCTGACGAAGAAGGAACGGACTCAGAACCCGAGTAACCAGGCGGCGTCCATTTTTCGGTGGAAACCCAAGAGTTGCAGAGAAGCGTGGTCGGAGTGAATCTCTTCCTAAAATAAGACGCTAACAAGAAAAATTGAAGCATAAAAAAAGAGGAAAAAATTGAAAGAATTGCCTGAAGATTGCAATGAATCGAACTTTAAACTCATCAATTTGTGTTCATAACTGAGGTCATTTTCTGTTTAGCATGTAATTGTCTTGTAAACGCGCGCATTTTTGCTCTGGTTTTGTTTAGTCTGGCCTCTTAATTTTTACCACGCGGTCTAAAATATTTTGTACAAATGTATCGCTAAAAACGCTCTGTACTTTAGTAAATTCTGAAAAGCGTGAAAGAAGAAACTCTAATGCGAATAGTTGAGGTAATATTTCCCTGGAGATCAAAAGCTTAAATTTGTCCGCCAAATGTAATCATTGTCATATTATGTTACGCTTATCAATCAGCAACAACTAGACTAGTGGTAACTGTAATTATTTTTTTCGGTATAATTTGAGCAGGTTTTAATTTTTTTTTTTTTTGCTTGTTTGTTTGTTTGTTTTTTCTTAGAAATAGAAATCTTAGATAGCTTCAATCCCTTTGTATTTTGTACACACTGAGAACCGACGAGATACTTGCAGAGTGTTTTACTGGATATATCCTTTAGAGGCATGAGCCGTTAAGGGATATTACCTCTCAACAAGAGGTTACTTTCTCTTGAATTTGAGGAATTCTTTTCCTTCAATGACCTTGTCTCTCCTTTGTTTTAGTTGATTAACAAACAGAAAGGAAATCCTTTGAAAATACATGGCTCTTAAAAACACGCCTCTAAGCCTACGGACAAGCCCCCATTATCAGCGCAGCAGCACTCGCGGTTTACGGGAAAATTTGACACTGGTCCGTGAGAGATTTGCTGTTTGGAATCTGGCACTAATGATTACCAGTGCTAGATCCCGTGCAGACCGACAGCGGGCGAGTGTTTGCACAAGGCCTGGTGCTTTCCCGCAGACGAAGATCGGTCGTGCCGATGCGCTGAAAATTAGGGCCATATAGACCACTTTCATAAATGGCTGCCGGATTAATATTCTTTTGTTTAAATTTAAATTTGCCTAGGTGGCCTCGTTCTCCAGTAGAAAATTCAAAAGAATACATTATCTAAAGCGAGGCCACCCAGGCAAATTTAAATTTAAGCAGAAGGATATTAATCCGGCAGCCATTTATGAAAGTGGTCTATTGCAAGCGACACCCCGCTAGTCAACAGCCACTCAACTTAACCTGGCTCAACTGCCTGATTTTAGTAGTTAGGGATTCCTACCGGCCATTAATTGTAATGAGTGAGGAAATAAAATACTGACTAGTGTAACCGTTTAACACTTCGTCATAGCCATTTAAAATTTACCCTTCATCCTTGATTCTCAGAATTGTTACATGATTTACAGAGCAATTAATACTTCACAGCGCTGTGGGTCTCACCTTTGCAATAGCTTCTTTATTGCGGTCTGAAGGAAGTCAATTTTGGGATTGCATCCTTAATTTTGCGGAAACAAAGCGCACGGTTTTCGTACAAACATTCTTTTCAAGCCCTGAAAATGTCATTGTTCATTGTTCATAAAAACCGCGTTCATTTAAAACAATCATTTAGATGTTATTTTTCCTCTTAAGTTTTTAAGCGGCAAAAATATTCAAACTGGCTAAACAGTATCATGTTACCTTGTTTTGCCATAATTCATTTTTTTCTGCTTTCTTTTACCCCAGCACTAATTGTGTTACCTGAAAACTGTATTTCTCTTAGCCGATCAGAATGAAGAAATTTGTCATGTCTATTATCATATTTTATGTATGAGACCGCTTTTAATATCTTTCGTGACGATACCCGTGTGCTATTTAATCGGAAAATTCATTACCTGCCGAGGAATTTCCGCCTAAAATTGCACGCGAAAAATTTCCTTGAATTGCATAAATGAAGAAAATGAGAAAAAAAGAAAACAGGAATAACATTGTTTGTTTTTATCCTGAACGCGAAACAAGAGATGCGAAACAATATGACTTATCCTGGTTGGGATTTATCACAACATTTGGATTCTGTTGCAAAAAAAAAACGACTTTCCTCCTAACTCCAACAGTTTTCTTTCTCTCGATTTGAGAAATAAGAGGGAAAAAATACGCAGCGAAGGACTGCATGTGGCTACTAGTAGAGCACAATTTTTATAGCATTAAAAGAGAGGCTATATCCACACATATTCTATTTGTATCCCACACATTTCTGAGTACATTGTTCCACAAGAAAAAGCTGATTCGAGAGTATATCGTCTAATTAAAATTCAACCAATAATTAAATGGTAACAAATTATAGTATTAGTAATAATGATATCAACAGCAATATAATAATAATTTAAGGGGGTTAGCTCGAGAGCCTCACCGATGGTTCCCCAATCCCCTGGGTTCCAACAATGATTACCAGTGCTTCTTTTAATTTCGCCTGTCCATCATAAATAATCTTTTTGCCAATTTTATTACAATTCCATTTTTTTAGGCTTATATTCCCTTTAAAAAGACATACCGCGTTTTAGGATATTCCGTCATTCCGCGGTATAAGATATTCCGCGATTCCACCTATCCACTGTCCTACCATTTGTCATTCAGTTGAATAACTCAAGGTATCGTGTTTCGCAGCTTGCTCGCTTCGCGAAGCTCTTTACGGTTTTTAAAGTCGCAGATTCAATCAATAAAATACTCTTTTTTCGAGTAAAGAAAGAAAAAAATTCCTCAAAGCTAAAAATCACCTAAGACATCATGCGAAAAAATGATGATGTTAACCAACAAGGAGAAAAAATGTACTAATACTTAAATAATATATATTTTTCTCCAGTAAACCATGTAAAGAATCTAAAAGACATTTACACTGTAAAAATTTCAAGTTAACCCGGAGTCTATCTTTAGATCTAGAACTCTCTCATTCGTCATCTGTCACTGAGGCACGCTCTCTTCAGTTGAACCTCAGTGCATAGTATGGTTGCGATTTCTGTTCCCATTATTTTGTATTTCACCCTCCACGCTGTGCCGAATTCCATAGAACAGATAGATGCTCATTCCTAGGAAAATACGACAACATATTCATTTTGTTAGAGTAGTTTTCAATCGGGTGTCGAAAGTAATGCGATGTTGCATTGGTTTTGTTTTTCTTCACTCCGTGAAAACTCTCAGAAAACTCGTACCAATCTCTCAACCAATCAGATGCAAAACTGAAGCCAATCCCGACTTGGTCGCCCGTGTCTTCCCGAGCTTTAGGCAGTTTGGTTGTTTTCCCGCGCTTTAGGCAGTTTGGTTGTTTTACTTGGAGTTTCCATCGATCATTTTCTTTCTTCTGTTTGGCGATTGTGATTACTTTTGCTTTGGTTTACGACGCTCTATCACAAAAAACCTCTAGTGTGGGGAAACATTTTGGAAATCCCACAAGGTAATGTAATTGAAAACGCCATTAAAACGTATTTGAAAGACATGTTAGCAATCAATTGAAGGATTATTTTGCGATACACTTCGTTGAATTGAAATCGCTCAGAATCAAGATTAATCAGTTCATCTTGTTGTTTGAGAGGGCAGTGGCTACAAGGTACTTACTGGAGTGTTGAACCTACGCTCTCTTAAGGTTAAAAAATACTTTGCTTCCCCTCCCCCAAGAATCTTTAATATATAATGAATCGTTATCTCACCGATCACCATCCAAACAGCGAATCTGAGCCACGTCAAGTAAGAGAGCTTCAAAATGAGAAATAAGTTGATGAAAACGGACAGTTGAGGTAATATGGGAACATAGGGGACCTTAAACGCTAGGGGCACCTTATTCTGGGGCAGCCAAAGGAGTAGCAGAATAGATCCAATCTGCAGCAGGCCCATTAGTACTAAAATAATCACTGCCCACCATTTGGCTTGTAACAAGGCATGTGAGCCAAAGATTATCACAGCACTGAGGCCTGCGGAAGCAATGGTGCCAGCACTGATACCATAAAGTGCTAACTGAGCGGTCCACTGCGTTGTTTGTTGGACTCCACTCCCACCCAGTAGCGGAGAACTTTCGTCTTGTTGGCTCGATTCTTTGGTCAGTCCAATACTTTCTGGCTGGTATCTCAAGATTACAACACACAGAGAAACTATGGTATACGCTAAGAGTGTGCCAATGGACATCATTTCTACCAGAGAATCCAGGTCAAAGATTAGGGCTAAAAGTGCAGAGAACGCTCCAGATATTATCGTTGCGACCACTGGTACCTCTGTCCTTGGGTTCACTTTAGCCAAAAATCTGAAAACAAGCCGATCAATATTGTTTAGAAAGTAGTGTTCATAATGTAATAATATACATGAAAAAAAAATGAAATTAAAATTAAAAAATTAAAAAACTACGCGCGTCTGATTGGCTGAAGTAACACTTGTAACACGAGGGTAAATTGTAAAAAGCGCTTGCTTGCCAGAATTCCGTCTGTCTTGACTATCTGTGATGCGTTTTTCATAAAAGTTATTAACAAGTAACAACATGATTTCTCGTGCTATTAAGTGTAAATAAACACTTAAAAATTTTTCAAAGACTACAAATTGCACCCGCCCTACGGGCGAGTGCAATTTTGTCGTGCAATTTTGTTGTCTTTGAGAAATTAACTCGTGCCAATTTGCACTCGAAATCATGTTGTTACCTAAACCAACTATAGAAGCTTTTATCTTAGAACAGTTTTCAATTGAGTGTCTAAAAAAAACCAAAGGAATCATAATGGCCAATGAGAAACAGGGAGTACACTATCATTAACCAATGAGAACTCAAGGTGAAAACAAACAAACCGCTTAAAGCGCGGGAAAACGCGGATGACCAACCCACGATTGTTTTTAGTTTTGCCTCTCTAGTGAGACGATGGTGCGAGTTTTCTGCACCAATCCCAAAGCAAAGTTATAAAGTAAAACCAATGCAGTCTCGGATTACTTTCGACACTTAATGTTGAAAACTACTCGAACGAAATGAACACGTTAGTCGTATTTTCCCAGGAATGAACATCTCTGTTAAATAAAACAGAATTACAGTAAGGTATTCTTTAGTAGTTATAGTAATATAGTAAGTGCGTGGTGGTAGTTGTTAGTAATTATTGCACTGCATATGTAATGTAAGCAATGAATAACGATAATAGTAGTAATAATAATAATGATAATAATAATAATAATAATAATAAGAAGAAGAAGAAGAAGAAGAAGAAGAAGAAGAAGAAGAAGAAAAAGAAGAAGAAGAAGAACTTAAGAACTGAGCTCAATGGAAGAAACAAAATAGAAGCTATCAATAGTCTTGCAGTCCCAGTTGTGCAATATAGTTTTGGCATCATTGACTGGAAAATCTCAGAACTGAAGAAGATTGACACAAAAACACGCAAACTATTGAACATGCACAAGATGTTACATCCTAAAGCAGAAGTGAAAAGGCTGTACATCCCAAGAAAAGATGGAGGTAGGGACCTGATTGATGTAGATACAGCATTCAAAACAG